TTATTATTTTTTATTGCAATAGATAATTATTATCTTGTCATTAGCATCGCCTTCTTAACGAGCGCGGAGGTAATGATCGTTAAGGATAACTGGCTTGTTAGTCTTCGTGATTGGTGTTTACGGGTCGTTTGTGGTATTGAAATCGTTAACGTTATTTTTGTTGTTGTTATTGTTGTTGTTTGTTGTCGTTGGTGTGAATATTGTTGTTTTGTTAGTGATTGTGAGAGTCACATAAATTTCCCATTCATGATTATCACTATTATTATCATCAGTATTATTGCTATTATCATTTTCATTGTTACTATTATTATTATAATTATTATATTATTATCATAATTATTATTATATTATTATCGTAATTACTATTAAATTATTATTATAATTATTACTATATTATTATTATAATTATTACTATATTATTATTATCATTATCATGTTTAGTATTATTACCATCACTATTACTACTATTATTATGATCATTATCATTATCTTTATAATTATCTTTATCATAACCGTTACCATTATCATTATAGTTATAATCACTGTTGTTATCCCATTACTACAATTATCAATATTATTATTATCATCATTATCATAATTATCACTATCATCATCACAATTCCTTATCATTTCCATCATCATTATCATCATTTTCATCATCATCATCATCATCACTTTCCTCCTTCGTTATACACCTGTTCCTCGTTATCATTATTATCACCAGTTCCTCATAATCGTCCTTCTCTCTATCATTACTCTAAATCCCTACTTCTGCTTTTCATTAACGCTATAGTTCTCATTATTAATAGTTCGTCGGTATTATCAAAATGCCTTTCTTGTTGTTGCTAAAGACAGATCTATTTATAATGACCAAGATAATATAAGTACATTCATTATAAAAATATATATATATATATATTATATATATATATATATTTTTTTTTTTTTTTTTTTTTTTTTTTTTTTTTTTTAACATGATTTTTAATACTACCCTTTCCATCAACATATTATTATTGATACTGTTACCAAAGTCGTAGTCATTATTATCATTATCATCATTATCATTATTATCATCATCATAATCGCTATGATCATTATCTATTTCATTATTTTCTATTACTTATTCACTTTCATTACTAATACTATGATCATTATTATTAACATTATGACTGAGATTTCTTTTATTATTACTATTAATATTATTATCATAATCATTACTATTATTATAATTATCATTATCACTATCATTAATATTTTAATAATGATAATAATAATAATACCATTATTATTATTATTATTATTATTATTATTATTATTATCATTATTACTATTATCATTATTATTATTATTACTATTATTACTATCACTATTATTATCATTATTATTAACATTAGTAATAATAGTAACATTATCATCTTAATGTCGACATATGAACAGTAACGATGATGACTGAAATATTAATTTTAAAAAATATTGATATAACATTCAAGTGATTTTTTTATCATTAATACTATCATTAACAACAATAGCTCATCCTCGTCTCCAATAATATCCTATTTTGACATAATCACCATCATTATTATTCTAACTGTAATTACTATCATTAATTATAATAATCTGATACACTACCCCACTAAAATAACATTAATGACCTATAATAATAAATAAATATACATATATCATTAACAACTAAATAAATAACATCGATGCAAATAACAGCGTCGAAAATCAAGAAATTAAAAACGATAATTAAAAAAAAGAAAAAAAAATCTGAAAATGCATAGGCCTACATAAAATCAGAGAAAGTTCGAGCCAGTCTTCTTGTGAGAAAATCAAGGTCCATCTCAGTCTTTCGTAATAAGTCAATATGTCAAAATGTATGCGGCCTATAATGATAATGAAAATAACAATAATGATAACAATAAATCATTATCAATATCATTATCACTATTATCATCATTATTATTATGATAATAATCATCATCATCTTATTATGATTATTATGATTATTATTATTATTATTATTATTACTATTATCATTATAATTATTATTATTAATATTATTACTATTACAATTATTCTTATTATTACTATTACTATTACTGTTATTATTATCATTATTACTATTATCATTATCATCATTATTATTATTATCATTATTACTATTACTATTATTATTATTATCATATTACTATTATTATTACTATTATTATCATTACTATTAATGATACTACTTTTGTCAGTATTCATCATTCTCATTTAATGATATAAATGAGTGAAAAAATACAGATAGTAATGCCAATTATTACCGGTATTATTATCATTTTAATAATAATGATAATAATAATAATAATAATAATAGCAAGAACAATAACAATATTAACGAATAGGTAACAATCATTATCTCATTTTTTTCATAATGATAAAAATACCGGTAATATACAGTATTAGTATTAATATATTTTTTACTATAACTAATGACATGAAATATTAATAACAATGATAATAATATAGTAATAATAATAATAATAAAGATAATATTAAAAATAACAATTATAATAGTGAGAAAAATAATAGTAATACTGCTACCACTAACAATAATAATGATAATAATAATGATAATAATAATAATAATAATATTGATGATGATAATAATAATAATAATGGTAATAATATTAATAATAATAATAACACTACTACTACGACTACTGCTACTACTAATAGTAACAATAATAATTATATTAATAACAATAATAATAATATTGATGATGATGGTGACGATGACGATGATGATGATGATGATGATGATGATGATGATGATGATGATGATGATGATGATGATGATGATGATGATGATGATGACGACGACGATGAAATTAGGAACGATAAAAGTTAAAAATAATAATAATAATATATATATATTTTTAAATATGGTGCTCTTTCCAATCAACATCAACACATATAACTGAAAAAATAGATCTGAACACTCTTTACCTACATAGACATCTTATGAATGGTACATGAAAATATGAACACCGTCAAGTTTCTGTGTGAACTTGAAGCTCCTTCCCAACTAATAACAATTTATTGACATTTTGTTCAACCTTTAAAAGTTTTTTTTGTGTTTGTCTCAGCTCACTACATTGCACTTCAAGTCTAAATATTAACTTATATATTCTAACTCACTATGTATATCTATCTACCTCTCTCTACAAAACCCATCTATCTATATCTACATATCTATCTATATCTATATATTCATACTATATCATGCCTCTACTAGCTATTATAAAACGTCTTTCTATCAACATAGTTAAATACATACTTCTCTATCTGCATATCTATCTATCTATCCCCTGTTTCTATCTCTCCCTTTGTTATCTCTTTATTCTCCTACCTATCATATCTTCCCCCTTGCCTATCTATTCACCCTTCTATCTGTCTATCCATTTGTCTATCTGTCTATCTATACATCTTCTTATCTGTCTGTATATTCGTCTTTTAAACTGATTATCTAGCTTTCCATCTGTTTCTATATCTAGCATTCTACCTATCTACCTGTCGATTTATTTATCCATCAATCTTTCCACCTGTTTCATCTCTCTTCCTAATCATTTGCCTATCTATCCTCCTATCATCTATCTATCTATCTATCTATCACTCCATCTCTCTCTCTCTCTCTCTCTCTCTCTCTCTCTCTCTCTCTCTCTCTCTCTATATATATATATATATATATATATATATATATATATATATCATCTATCTATCTATCCATCCATCTATCTACATATCTATCTATCTACATATCTATCTATCTATCAAACTATCTATCGAGTCCATCTATCTATCCTTATCACTTATACATACATTAGCAGTGGTATTATCTGTGTATGTACGTGTGTATACCCATGTATGTGCGTCTCTGTGCATGAGCGTGTGCGCGTGTGCTTGAGTGTGTCTGCTTGCTCTCGCTTTTGAATGAAAGAAGGATATTTCAAAAAGTTGCTTGCATCAGTTTTCCGAATGTTGCTAGACTTTGAAAACAAATTGCAAAGGTAAATTTATTTTGTTGCATAAGTTATTTCGTGGTTCGAGAAGCCCCACGTGTGCTGTGTAACCCGCAGTGATATCATTCCAGCCCTAGAATCAACTATACAATGTTGCAGAGTACTTTTGATAATGTGTATATATGTGCATACACACACACACACACACACACACACACACACACACACACACACACACACACACACACACACACACATATATATATACACACACACACATATATATAAATATATGTGTGTATACATACATATATATAGATATATATATACATATATATACCTACATACATACAGAGAGTGAGAGAGAGAGAGAAGGAAAGAAAGAGAGAAAGAGAAAGAGGGAGCAAGAGAGCGAGAGAGTCAGAATGAGAGAAAGCGCGCGTGCGTGTGCGTGTGTGTGTGTGCGTGTGCTTGTATGTGCGTGCGTGTGATCACTTATTACCAATCCCTGTCACCGACTCCCCTACCATGACCCTATTACGACCACTTTCACGACCCCTCCCCCCACCCCACCCCCCTCCCCCCACCACCACCCTTCCAACCACCTGCCAACACCTTCCTTACCTCCCTGCTGCCACCACCACGGCGAACGACCCACCCTGACTCGCCGTATACCTGAGAGCTCGCTGCCCACCCCCGCCCACCCCCGCCCACCCCCGCCCACAACCTCTCCACTGCTCCCCTTCCCTTCCCCCCTCCTCCTTCCCTCCCACCTCCCCACCCCCCCACACCCGCCTCGCTTATCTCGCGTATACTGCCCGCGGGATGCTCCCTTACCCTCCCTCCCCCCTCCCCCCTTCCCTCCCTTTCCTTCCTCCCCTCCTACTGAGGTGTAATGCCCCCCCTACTCCTCTTCCCTCCCCCTTCCCCCCCACAACCCACCCACACCCACCCTCCGCCCACTTCTGAACAGAAAGGGACATTACCACCTACCTGTATTTATTTCACCGTCTGCCCGTAGAGTCAAAACTGCTGCACACTCACAGGTAATATGTATATATATATATACGTATCTATCTCTTTATAAACGTATCTGAATGAAGCCCGACAATATATATATATATATATACGTGAAAGGAGAAAAAAATATATATAAATAAATGATATATATCTGGTATATATATAACTTATAACAAAAATCTATCGACTCGTATTTTCCCCTCTTTTATTTTTTTTTCCCTTCCGGGCACTGAGATCACTGCACGGGCTAACTAATCTCCTCACAAGCGACTCGTTTCAACATCGCTCGTCGCCATAATCACACGCAGCGCACTCCAATCGGGGGCAAAACGGCGCACAATTCCACCGTACGGCTTGTCACCTCCGAGTGCCAAGACACGACTGAACAGCTGTGAAGGAGATACATGTTAGCTCTGCCGGGATTCGTAGGGGCGCGCGGCGGTCGACCAATCAGCGCGCGCCTATCTGCCGGGAAGCGAATGAGATGCGCCGTCTGTGCGCAGTTGGGCAACGGGTCACACAGGCGCCTTTAAGGAATCTCGCCTCTTTTCTCATCTCTATATACCTGTTTTGTCCCCTTCGACTTATGTTATAAATCCTCCCTAGGGGGAAGCCCAGGTGGCGGCTGGGGGAGCGGGCGAGGGCAGCGGCGTGGCGAGCGAGGGGCGGCGGGGGGAAAAGCGGCCTCGATTTTCACCATAGGACGCGGCATCACCCTGGCAAATGCGAGAGAAGAGACAAACGAGAAACTATTCGCTCGACCCAGCATCTCTCGCCGACCCTACAGGCACCCGGCCATGGCAGGAAGAGAGAGAGAGAGAGAGGGAGAGAGGGAAAGCGATGTTTGGGAGAAAGAGAGGGAGAGAGAGAGAGAGAGGGAAGGGGATGTTTAGGAGAAAGAGAGAGAGAGGGAAGGGGATGTTTGGGAGAAAGAGAGGGAGAGAGAGAGAGAGGGAAGGGGATGTTTGGGAGAAAGAGAGGGAGAGGGAGAGAGAGAGAGAGAGAGAGAGAGAGAGAGAGGGTGGGTTGAGAAAGAGAGAGAGAGAGGGAGAGAGTTGGAGAGAGGGGGGGGGGTAGAGAAGGGGTTATTAGAGAGAAAGAGAGAGAGAGGGAGGGAGAAAGAGAAGGATAATTAAGAGAAAGAGAGAGAGAGAAGAAGAGAAGGGGACGTTTGAGAGAAAAAGAGAGGGAGAAAGAGGACGAAAATTAAGAGAAAGAGAGAGAGAGACAGGGAGACAGAAGAGAGAGAAAAAGAGAGAGACAAGGAGACAGAAGAGGATGAGTGAGAGAAAGAGAGAGAAGGGGGGGGAGGGGAAGAGTGAAAGGTAAGGAATTTTTTTCGTTTATTTACTTAGCTCGGTTCCCTACATACACATACAATATACTCACATACACTCTTTCTCTCTGTTTATCTGTGCATCTCTCTCTCCCTCTCTCTATCTACCTACCTATCTATCTATCTATCTACATATCTATCTATCTACCTGTCTATCTATCTATCTATCTGTCTGTCTCTCTAAATTTCACTCTGTGTGTGTGTGTGTGTGTGAGAGAGAGAGAGAGAGAGAGAGAGAGAGAGAGAGAGAGAGAGAGAGAGGGAGACAGACAGACAGACAGATAAGACACACACACACACACACACAAATGCTCGCGCGCACACGTGTGTTTATGCTAGGTGTTTCCTTTTCCATCTTAAATGTATGTATTCTGTATGTTCTCCCGGTAGTGTGTGTGTGTGTGTGTGTGTGTGTGTGTATGTTTATGTATGTGTGTGTGCGTGTGTATATGTATGTGTGTGTGAGTGAGTGTGTGTGTATGTGTTTCTGTATGCGCGCGCGTGTGTGTGTGTATGTATATGCATGTGTGTATATGTATGTATGTATGTATGTGTGTGTGTATGTATGTGTGAGTGTGTGTGGGTGTGAGAGAGAGTGAACACGATATGATGATGACGGCTCCTGCGATAGTGAAGGGAGGGTGAAAGGTGAGGTGAGTCGGGGGGGAGGGGGAGAGGGGGGAGGGGAGGAAGAGGTGGTGGGAGTTAAAAGGACTCGATGATGGTGTTTGATAGTGTAGAAGGAGATAAGAGACCGTTGCCAAGCTGATGGTGACAGATAATGAGAGAAGAAGAGGATATAAAAATGGTGAATGGGTTGAGAATAGACTGATAATGATGGGGGGGGAGGGGGGGATGGTGATGAAAAGTCACTAGCGATGGTGAATGAAATTGACGAAGGGAAGCAGGTGATGGTGATAGGAAGAATGAAATCCGCAAAGTAACGATATTAATCTTTATAATTACTATGCTACCTCAGTAAAGATTTGCAAATAAGATCATCCTAATTTCACATTTATGCTAATGCTGATAGTATTGTGAATAATAAATACAAAACAGAGAGATGGAGATGAGGGAAAGGGATGGGGGCGAGTAAAGACAGAAAAAAATAGAGAGATGGTAATGAAAGAGAGAAAGAGAGAGAGAGAAGAGAGAGAGAGAGAGAGAGAGAAGGAGAGAGATGTAAATATACATATGTGTATATATATATATAATATATATATATATATATATATATATATATATATATATATATATATAGAGAGAGAGAGAGAGAGAGAGAGAGAGAGAGAGAGAGAGAGAGAGAGAGAGAGAGAGAGAGAGAGAGAAAGAAAGAAAGAGAGAAAGAAAGCGAAGCATAGAGAGAGAGAAACAGAAATAAACCCTACCAGAATGAAAAAAAATAAAAACCCAGAAAATGAAAAAAACGACAACGAAAGCAAACCAGAGCCCTCAACAATGAAAGAGAGAATCAGAACTACAATGGATGGGCCAGGGATGGTTCATATTGTAGAGTAAAATTTGCCACTGAAGACGAAACCTGTTATATGAGACGAGATGGCGTAGGTGTTAGTTCCAGAACAGCTGTGGCGACGAACAAACAACAGGAAGAAAGGAGAGGGAGAGAGAGGCCGATAAACAGTGCATAAGAGCAGGGGTGAAGGTGAAAAATACGTCTATATGCTGGAAAGGAAAGTTTCTTTAAAACTATGTATATAATAAGTTAACAGAAGCTTGCACACTGGATAAAGTGTGATCATCGAGATTCTAGCGAGAGAACGAATGAAAAAAAAGAAGATTTTGGCGATAGAATTTTTTTTTTCCTTTTTTATCTCTCTCTCTCTTTTTTTTTCTTTTTTTTCTTTTTTTTTGAGTTGGTTGTGGTCACCAACTAGCAAACACTAACGACGAAAACTTTGATTGATTAAACTTTCCAATACTGGCCATCGACTGCAAACGAGTAAATCTAGATTGAAGGCCAGATGGGATTTAAGAAACGGAAGAAAATAGAAGGAAAGGAAGATGGGAGAGGGAAGAGAGGTGAGAAGAGGGAGAGAAAGATGGAAGAGGGAGAGAAAGATGGAGGAAGGAGGAGAGGAGAAAAGAGGGAGGAGAGGAAGATGGAGAGGGAGGAGGAAGGAGATGAAGCGGGTGAAAGAAAGGGAGAGAGAGAGACAGACAGACAGACAGAGAGAGAGAGAGAGAGAGAGAGAGAGAGAGAGATTGAGGTGGACGGAGAAGACAGGGAGAGAGAGAGAGAGAGAGAAAATAGACAGACAGACAGGCAGACAGACAAAGACGCAGACGGAGATGATAAGGAGGCATAAGACAAGGAAATGGAGAAAGAAGTGAATAATAAGAAGAGAATGAAGAAGAGATTAAAAACACGAATGAAGAAGTGATTAAAAAAAAAACACATCGGGAAAACCTTCCAGTCTTACCATTTCAAGAGCAAGAAAAGAGAGAGAGAGAAAGAGAGAGAGAGAAAAAAGAACCCCCGAATTAAAAACGTCCCCATAAGGATGCTATTCTGCAGAATCCAAGACCTGGATGATGCTGCCTTCGTAAGGATGCTTCGGGAGCTGATTGCTGCGGGAATAGAGGAATCCTGTGTTAAAAAGGGAGGCAAAGTTATCATGAGTTACCGTCCCTTCCTTCGCCGCTGTTTCTGTCTCCATGGTTCCCGAGAGTGTGCCTCTCTCTCTCTCTCTCTCTCTCTCTCTCTCTCTCTCTCTCTCTCTCTCTCTCTCTCTCTCTCTCTCTCTCTCTCTCTCTCTCTCTCTCTCCCTCTCTCCCTCTCTCTCTCTCTCTCGGTCGCTTGCTCGTTCGCTCGCTCGCTCACTCTCTCTGACTCTCTCTCTCTCTCTCTCTCTCTCTCTCTCTCTCTCTCTCTCTCTCTCTCTCTCTCTCTCTCTCTCTCTCTCTCGCTCGCTCGCTCGCTCGCTCGCTCTCTCTCGCTCTCTTTCGCTCTCTCTCTTTCTCTCTCTCTCTCTCTCTCTCGCTCTCTCTCTCACGCTCCCTCTCTTTCTCTCTCTCTCTCTCTCTCTCTCTCTCTCTCTCTCTCTCTCTCTCTCTCTCTCTCTCTCTCTCTCTCTCTGTCATCTGTCTGTCTGTCATCCTCTCGCTCTCTCTTTCTCTCTTTCTTTCTCTCTATCCATCTATCACCTCTCCATCTCCATCAGTCACCTCCCTCTTTCTATCCTTCCCCCTCTCCCTTTCCTCCCACTCCCTGTCCCACTCGCACTCCTATCTCCTCTCCCTCTCCTGCCCCCTCTCCTTTCCCTATGCCCACTCCCTTCCCTCCCCCCCTCTCCCTCTCCCACTGCCCTCCCTTGCCCCTCTCCCTCTCCCTCTACTTCACCCTCTTCTTCTTCCTCTACCCTCCCCTATCCCGTCTCCATCTCCCTATCCCTCTCCCTCTCCCTCAACGTCTCCTTTTCTTGCACCCTACCCTCTACCCTCTCCCCCTTTCTCCCCTCCCTCTCCCTCTACCCTCTCCTGTCCTGTCTCCATCTCCCTCTTCCTCTCCCTCTCCTCTTCCCCCTCCCTCTCCCTCTCCCTCTCCCTCTCACTCTCCTTCTTCCTTTTCCCTCTCCCCCTCCCTCTCCCTCTCCTCCTCCTTCTCCCTCTCCTCTTCCCCCTCCCTCTCCCCCTCCCTCTCCCTCTCCCTCCCCCTCTCCCTCTCCTCTTCCCCCTCCCTCTCCCCCTCCCTCTCCCTCTCCCTCCCCCTCTCCCTCTCCTCTTCCCCCTCCCTCTCCCCCTCCCTCTCCCTCTCCCTCCCCTCTCCCTCTCCTCTTCCCCCTCCCTCTCCCCCTCCCTCTCCCTCTCCCTCCCCTCTCCCTCTCCTCTTCCCCCTCCCTCTCCCTCTCCCTCTCCTCTTCCCCCTCCCTCTCCCTCTCCCTCTCCCTCTCCCTCTCCTCTTCCCCTCTCCTCTTCCCCCTCCCTCTCCCTCTCCCTCTCCTCTTCCCCTCCCTCTCCCCCTCCCTCTCCCTCTCCCCCTCCCTCTCCCTCTCCTCTTCCCCCTCCCTCTCCC